TTAAACGACTGGGCCACCCGTGCCCCCAGAACCAAAGGAGACCAGTGACACCGCCTCATCTGTTTCATATTTAGATCTCTTCATAATTATTCAGGGTTACTCAAACCTATCCCCAGGACTGTATGACTGTGACAAAAGGGATGACTGAAACTTTTCCCTTATGCCCAGCAATATTCCAGAAGCTCCAGCCTTTTACACCGTTTAGGTTCAATGCAATTCCCTATGTTTTGTGTTGTCTGTGTTTGCACGTGTTTGAGACACATGCCGACGTATCATCACTATTTGATAGTGATTTACATACACATACTTATGATATAGTCAGAATCGTTCACTTTCAGCAGATATTTCTCATGATTATGGAAAGGGGTCCTTCGCTTTTATATATATACGTCGTGTATCGTTAAGTATGTATGTATGTATGTATGTATGTATGTATGTATGTATGTATCCACAATGTCTTTTAGAAAGTGATAAAATTTATTTGGGATACAAAGTCAGTGATCTAAAACACTCAGTCATCGAAGCTTCCCGACTACCAGTTGTCGACTTTCCATTTTGTGGAAGCTTCGGTGGCTGAGTTACTGAGAAAGTATATCAAATTATTTTATGTTACCCAGCTCACAATCACTCAGAGTGCCTGAAAACAACGAAGGAATTTGGGTCAGTATCTTTGTATTCGTAAGAACACGGCTGACAGAACTTGTATTGTCATCAAGTTTAGAACTTGGCATGGCGCAACGGATATAACATACAACTCATTGACTATTACAGGCATAGTTACAATAAAGTGTCTATGTACCAAGTTAGTTCTCTTTGTTATTTATGTCAACACTAGTCTAAATGACATGGACCCCTTTTACAATAATTATTGATTAACAGAATGGTTAACAGGATCAATATTAACTTTCAATAAACACGAGAACCATAAATCATTGAAGTATATTATCCATTATTTACAGTACAAGAATAGTAACTATACTTAAAGCAGCATGTACTTGGAAATGAGTTTAACAGAAACTCTACTTGAAATATCAAGTGTTTTACATGGAAATATACTGCAGAATAATACTCCAAAATGTGCTGTGATCACTTATGCATATCACGAAATTGCACATGTATTATAGTAAATTGATTTTGAGTGAAAAGGACATTATAACATTCCAGAACAATTGAAGCGCCCTGCAAAACACTATTTAAACAAGACAATCAGAGTTGTCTCCCATACCCTTGGGACAGATTCCATCACAATGATAATCGAAAGTTAAATTGGGTGAGTGAGTGAGTTAAAATTTAACGTCGCATCAGCCATATATGTTGACGAGACCAAGTTAATATAATTACAATCTAGTCACTAATGCAAAGTTTTGTTTAAAAACAAGTTGTAAAACATATTTGAGCATACTATACTTAGAAACAATTCATGAAACATATTTGAGCATAACAATATTATATATACGGTTTTAAAACATGGGCTATAGGCCACCAGTAACCAAAGCTAGGCCACCTCGCTGGGGGATCATGGGGACTTACAGTACCTCCTGCATGATACCCAAGCAGGATTTACGTCATCACTTTAGCCACTGGTGGTTGTGCACAATGCTAGCCAATATTAACAAAAACTCATCAATGAGTTGGCTTTAAAACACTGGTTGATGATAGTTACATTGATTATGGTAGGATTACGTGTCACACAGGGGGGCAATAATTTTACGTTACTAACCTCCTTGGCCCACTTGCACCAAGTGATCTTAGCTCTAAGACTATTGTAAGCCTATGTTAAAGTATGGGAGTTACAATCACCTTAGCGCTAAAATCGCTTTGTGCAAGTGGGACCCAGGACAGAGCCTTCAATAATGTCAGTTAATAGTAGCATCACACCAGATTTAAAAACAAGCATTTAATTATTCACATACATATTTAAAATTTATTATACAGACCAATTTCTTTCAAGTTTTTTATGATGAGATGCCCGCTGACACGGAAAAAGAGATCTTTTAGGTTAACACTTTGATAATGTGAATCCCTTGCGATTGCAAAGTCCACACAGTCTAGCAATATATGCTTGACGGTGAACCTTTCATCACAAGGGATACATTAAGGAGGTTCGTCCTCATCTGTCTTAAGCAGATATTCGTGTGTAAACCGACGGTGGCCAATAAGACATTGTCGTAAAACGACCTCGTCATGTCTTGACGGACAACCCAAGTAGGTATGACCTATTGTTTGTTTTAATTCGTGAAGTTTATTGCTTCCTGCCTGGGTGTCCCACCTCTTTTGCCTGAGATCCCGTGTATAACTTTTAATAGTTGGTATGAAATCGCTGTACGGGATAAGTAGTGGAGAGAACGGTTTGTCAAGAGCTGCTTTAGCTGCAGCATCGGCTTTTGAGTTACCTGTTTTGTCTCTGTAAAAACCGTCTGTAAAAATGGATCTGTGAGAATTATATTGAGTTCGCAATTGGTTGAGCGCTTGTTGATAAACCAAAGATTTTTTGAGTTGGGTTAGAGAGAGGTCTACCTCTGGCTTCACCATCCGCCGGGGAGGAGACGACAGGAGACGGTTAGGTGATATGATATTTAGATCAATTTTAGCTGCGGTGATGTGTGGTTGAATTCTGATTCCAAGTGGTGGGACCAGGTTTGATAAATTTCGAAATATGTTTATCATACTGAAGGTGGAAAACACAATTGTATGCTGGATTGGATTTATTTGAGCACCATATAGTGATGTATTGCAGTGAAAGTTTAATGTGGCGCAGTTCGAGTGAAGGTTCACCGGCCTCCACATTCAAACTGTCCATGGGAGAAGTCCTAAAAACTCCAAGACAGAGCTTTAGGCCCTGTTGGTGTATTGTGTCTAATTTTTCTAAATTGCTCCAAAATCAACAGCAACATGGACACCAATGTGAGGCAGATACCAGCAAAATCCCAAGACCATAGGCCCAATGGCTAAGGGCATATAACTCAACTTCTGCAGCAATAATCATCGACACTAATTGTCCAACGACTTCCAGATTTGCCATGCGGCAGCGCAATCAGATGCCCATCATTTTGTACTGCAGGACCATGGCAGCTACAACGCTTTTCGACATGCATTTTAGCATCTAAGCTATGAGACAGGTCCCTGAGATCCTGACAACCTCAGAACACAGGGAAAAAAACACTTGTAACTCCGAAACAACTGGTCCCATTTCGTCTAGATTCGTGTGTGATTGCTTATTGTAGCTACATCGCTTTGAAGGCTGCGAAGAGAAAAATGAAACAGAATTCATCCATAACAACATATTTTAACCTATTGTACCTCACCAGATCATCCAATAACTGTCAGACTAGGCACTATTTAGTATTTAAATATGCAGTTCGATATTGAAATGCATTCACAAAATCCCAAGTTCTACATACACCACACTGTGATCTGACTGTGAAAATGTCATTTTGTTGGGATAACAATGACATTTTACGACACTTCAAACTTGTTCGGTTCAGACACTGAAGGAAGCGTATCTCTCTTCTCTATACGCAACAGCATTGCCCGTAGACCTGTGGTATTGGTTTATTGATTCCATAAACTAGTACGTGAGCTTTGTGCATAATTTTCAGCGAACTGCGATTGTGTTTATCCGCTATGGACTAAAGAAATCAGTTGTCAGGGTCAGTGAGATACAGTATATATACAGCTGATGGACAACGCAGGAAGAAACGGACTCTAGAAATAGGTTTAAGTCTGGGCTCGTATCTTCAACGGTTCTGCATAGAAAACAGTGCAACTTGGTATAATATATCGACATCGTATTTTGTGTTAGGGGTGCATGTGGAAGCTCATATCGGCATTGGCACGAATTCAAAATACACACTGTCAATAGAGTTAAGCAGACAAATATTGCCAATGCATGTTTATTGACGTTACAGCGTGTCAGCTAGCCTTAGTCCCATGAGAATGGGTCAGTCGAGTGCATATTGGAACGTGACCAACGGCGAAGGTATAGCGAGACAGCAGTAGCGCTCCAGCGGCATTCGTGACCAACTCGTGTTATTCCGGGACAAGCCGAATAAAAAGCTGCTGGTAGGGGGCTTATCCGAGAGCCGCGTGTAGGGTCCTTCATTTAAAACAGGACCCTACACCCCGCCCGAGCTCACCTTGTCATAAATCCTTTACAGACTGTGGGATTTACGGTAGGTTTGTGATTGAAAGTTTGATTTCGCTGAACTCGACGATTAATCTACTATCTTTTCACGTACTTTTCATTATGCTATTACCAAAACTTCAAGTAATAACACACCAGTTATAAGTTCACTTCATGTTAAGACGGTATAAACTTGACATATAGCAGACCTCTAAACACCTGTAACGCAGCTAATACTGGTCCGATTTCGACCAAATGTCGTGTGTGTATGTAGACTAGGCTTGTAGGCCACATAACTTCGAAGACGACGGAGTAAAAAACAAACATTATTAATGTATAACATCATCTCTTAACGTATTCTTAACCAGCTGATCCAATAACTGCCTATGCACTCTTTAGTATTTACATAAAAAACCCATCGATATTGAAATGCTGTCACAAAGTCCTACGTACACGAAACTGTGATCTGACATGTGTTGAAAATGTCATTTTGTGGGGGAGATAAAGTAATTTTATGAAGCTTCAAACCTTGTTCAGTAAAGACACGACCCGTGAAGATTCCGGGGTAGAATAAGCCGTAAAAGGCGACTATGCTTGTCGTAAAAGGCGACTAACGGGATCGGGTGGTCAGGCTCGCTGACTTGGTTGATACATGTCATCGATCCCAAATGCGTGGATCGATGCTCATGATATCACTGGATTGTCTGGTCCAGACTCGATTATTTACAGACCGCCGTCATATAGCTGGAATATTGCTGAGTGCGGCATTAAACAACAAACCAACCAACCAACAGTGAAAACACTAACCGAAGCGCCAGTAAAGTTTACGAACATAACCCGTTAGCTGGATTTCAATATTGATGATTGTTGTTCCAAAATGCCTTCTCCAGTTGATCTTGGCCTTCTCCAGTAGGCATATTTATTTAATAGCTTAATACCGGACAACGTGACGTCTGCGTGAGATTCTGTGCCCTGTTCCCTGGTGAACTGCTATTGTGTTATCGCTATGGTTTACCGATTTTAGGAGGGACAAAGAGACTGACTGCATAACACTAGTCTCCTGAAACGGACTATAGAAATCACATGCGCGTTACCAGTCAACATGTTCATTTGGCTGTCTGAAGACGGTATTCTCGGCAGTGAAGCAGGGTCGTGCATTGATGGTCTGGCCCCAAGGGCCCATACACATCTTGTCCGTATAGTGTATCTGCTTCCCCAGTACACACGATAAAGGAAATATTCGGCTCTGATCGTAAAAACATCGGGCCATTCGTGAGGGCATCTTAAGCCATCGTATGACCGCCGGTGGAGTGTCTCCAGCTCCGGCAGCAACTTCGTGAGCGGTGGCAAAATCTTTGGCATGCCAAAAAATTGCCGAAAGACCTTGCCAAGGTTCATTTTCCTTTTGAATTCGTGTGTCCATTTTGCCCTTCGTAAGTCCATCGTGAGGGCATCTTGTAAAATCGTGTCACCTTCGTCTTTACTTCGTGTGATCATCGGTGCCATCGGGCATTTTTCGCCCACGAAGACAATATGAAGGAAACAAGAAGCTGCCCGATTGTCTTAGGAAGGCAACATGACTACGTGAAGCCCTCGCAATGCCGTCGTGTAGCCATCGTATTATAGTACGTTGACATCGAGATGGGACCAGGGTGTCGGCGAAGACAGCCGAATTTGAGTAGCTCAAGCGTTTCCCATGTGTCATGGTAACGTGGACACGTAAAAGGCCAGCCTCAGAGCATCTTCCTCAGTCAGACCTGAGCAAGTCTACAGAGCAGAGGCGTGTGCAACTCCCAAAGCTTCAGACACAATTAATCACAATTCAGTTCCCGCAGAGTGGCATACTTTGATGATGAGACAACCAGGAAAAAGAAGGCAGCAGCATTGCTTCTTTTGATGCACCCCAGAGAACATGATAAGCAATTCTTACAGGCCCAGCACCTCCTCTTACAGGTTAAAATGGTCTTATTTCACTTTCTCATTTCTAGCTATTTGCACCGACTCCGTGGTCTTGTGGTAGAGCGTCCGCCCGGAGTTCGATCCCTGACCGCGTCATACCAAAAGACGTTAAAAGATGGTACTTGTTGTTAACCTGTCTGGAGCTCGCCATTAAGGGGCTGAAACAAGGACTGGTCGGCTCGGAGTCAGTATACTGTGTCTGAGTGGGGTATTCATGTTAAACTGCGGCATGGTATTTCAGTGAGCTAGCGCTATAAATCGGCATCGGTGAGACTAGTACAAGCAGCCACACAAACACACACACGTACATGCACGTCGCTATATAAGTGCAATAATCTTGGACGCGACGTTAAACCCCATTTCACCTCACCTCTTGCTATTTGCCTTTCTAGCATTCGACAGTGTACTTATCTTGTTTTGCTTTTTATTTTCCAGGGCAGGGGCAAACCGAGTCGAAGGAGGAAACCGAGGTCTATGTGGGTCAGGAAATGGCTGTCTGACAAAAGAAGAGAACGCCATGGCACTATAGCTCTCTACTAAATGAGCTGAAGACAGAAGATGAGAAGGTCTTCTACAACTACACAAGACTTCCCAGAGGCCTCTACTATGAGGTGCTGCGTAGGGTAGAAGGCAGAATAGAGAAGAAGCATACATGGTACAGAAAGTCTCCCCCTCCTGGTCTCAAGCTGTCCATCACTCTACGACACTTGGCCTGCGGTGACAATTATCCAAGCCTGTCCTACAACTTCAGAGTTGCTCCAAACACCATCTCCCTCATCATTAATGAAGTCTGCGATGCCATCAAAGCCGAGTTTGCTGCTGAGGTGATCCAGTGTCCTACTACAACTGAAGAGTGGATCGCCATTGCTGAGCAGTTTGAGAAGAGATGGCAATTTCCACACTGCTGTGGTGCTCTGGATGGCAAGCATGTGGCGGTCACCTGTCCTTGGAATAATGGCTCTGTGTACAGAAACTACAAGGGCTTCTTCTCCATTGTCCTTATGGCCTTGGTCGACACAGACTACAAGTTTCTCTGGATTGATGTCGGCTATGATGGTTCCAGGAACGCTGCCAGTATCTACAATAGGTCAGAACTGAAGGAAGGCCTGGAGAGTCCGAACAACATATTCAATCTCCCTGAAGAGAAGTCTCTACCTGGTGATGATGTTCCTGTCCCATGCTACATAGTAGCACCCGTTTTCAATCAGAAACATGGAGCACCATGAGAGAATATTTAACTACAGACTCTCAAGAGTCAGGCGTGTAGTGGAGAATGCCTTTGGTATTCTGGCACATAAGTTCCGAGTTTGGTGAGGACCATGAACAAGAGGCCAGAGACATGCAGAAAAATCATTACAAATTGTGTGATTCTTCACAATCTCATCAGACTGAGATATCCAGCCACCCACAACAACCTGATGGACTTGGAGGATCAGAACTAGAATGTCATCCCAGGGGCATGGAGAAATGACAAAGTACTTCTGGATGTTTACCACGAGAGGGCAAGGAACACTGGAACACAGGAGGGGAGGCAAATTAGAAGATACCTGGGCCATACTTTACCTGGTTCAGTGCCATGACAGGACAAGATGATCATGTAAATATTCCCACAAAGCAGTGACAGTAAAATGAATACAGAGACACTAACATTGTGATGATGAACAAATTATTTTCACATATTGCATTGTAATTTAAAGCAAAATGTGTATGGAGTAATAAAATTTGTTTTTGAAATTTAGATACTTGTTCTCTTTTCCACTGATTAATAAAATAAAGGCCCAACATTTAGATAGTTTAAAAAGTCCAATACTACTTTAACATAGAAATTAAAATAAGTAAACGATAAGTAAAGTAAGGATAAATGACAAAAAAAAATAACAAAGTGACAATTTTTATTATGTACAATCTCAAGTTTCCGAGGAGAAGGTACGTACCCCTGAGTATAAGTGCTGGCTGGCTGGCTGGCTGGAGGGTATGGTACTGCTACTATTGCTGTTGTTCTAAGTTGTACTGCTGGTTCGCCTGCTCTACGTAGCCACACTCCTGGGATCTCCACACTGATGCCGGAGGTGGGTTCCTAGGGCACTGGCTGGGATCTGGCTGGAACTCTGCTAACAGTGAGGAGGCAGCTCTGCTGGCAGAGTAGTAGGTACCGCTGGGCACTCTCCTGTTAAAGTTGGCTGGGTCTTGAGTAGGTGGCAGATGTGCAGACTGGGATCACAGCAACTGGCCTCTGCTGCTGCGACTGGAATGCTGACGGGACATCTTGTAAGGGACTGATCTGGTCACCAGCTGCTTCCCTCATCCTGAACTGTCTGGACACCTTCCGGTAACTGGAAAGACAAAAACAAACAGCATAGGATTAATACAAGCTCAAAAATTCAGCATGCATTAAAATCTGTGACATCAAATAAATGAATTTCAAATTTATGCAATTTTATATACTTACTGGTTAAGAACTGTGGTGATCTCCCCATACGCAGGTTCCAGCCAGGCATCATGCAGACGATCCAGTTCGGTTTCCAGGTACTTGTGGAAAGGAGTGGCCCTGTTGACTTGCTGCTCTCGAGTGATGAACTGAACCAGCCTATCTTGGAGATCACGGGATGCTCCGGTAACTCTCATCTCCATGGTAGGAGACTTGGGTTGGTCCTCAGCAGCTGTTTTGGTCCTGGAAGGAGGTATCGGTGTAGGGTAGCCAGTGTACTTCTTTGTGGGCTCCCTGGGTTCGTCTGCAAGACTGCCTGCCATGGTACTGTTGTCACTCCCAGCCAGCTCACCCGTCTCAGCCAAGGCCAACTTGTCCTTAAAATGTCAACATAAGTACATTTGAAACTTATATTTGGAAACAAAAAGTTTGGAAATTGAAAATGTTCAACAAAGTTCAATTTGAATTTAATTTCAATGATATACTCACACTAGCTGGTGTATCCTTCTTGTGACGTCTGATGTGTGGCTTCAGGAACCCAAAGACCCGGAGGATGAACTTGTCACGGTCACTGTCATTCTCACTGGCCTCCTCAGCAAGGATTGGGGGTCTTTCTCATCACCACTCGACAGACCATCACCGGACCTCTTCTGGGATTTCATCTTGGGTTATCGAGAATCGAGTCCTCTGTGTGTGGTACCGTTTCTGAATTGAATCATCTGCAATGACAGAAATCAAAACAAATAATTAGTACAATCATTGAAATATTCATTGACAGCAATGTATGTCAAGTATCTGAAATAGATTTCAAATATTTCAAAGTAATTGAAATGTATTTTTTGTATATACTTACAATCCACCCCGTACTCCGCAGACTTTCCCTCCCATAGTTGCCTCCTTAATGCCTTGTCTTTGGCCTGTTTGCTCTTCATGTCATACAGTAGCTTCCTTCTCTCCATCCAGTGAGCGATTGTCTCCTCCTATGCCTCTGTGAAGCTGTATGGTGCACCAGGGGGTGGGTTCTCATTCTGGGCCTTGCCCTTCCCTTTGTCGCCCTTGCCCTTGCCCACTTTAGGCTTGACCTTGGACTTGCCTGTGGGGAGGGCGGGGGAAGCTGACTCATCTGAAAAGATACCAAATGGAAAACAAATTAAGTACATGCAGGACAACAATGTATGGGAATATATTACAAAATCAATAACCCCTCTTGCCCCCATCCATACCAAAAATAAGTTATATATTTACCTTCATCATCCGAGGATTCGGGCTGTCTGTTACGAGGCCGGGGGGGGAGAAGGTGAGTGCGGCAGAGAGTCCTGGGTCTGGTGAGGAGACCAGGATCCCGCTGGGGACCGCTCTGGAGGACTGACATCTTTCTTGGATTTCCTCCCCCTTCTCTCTCTGGTTGGAGACTCAGTAGTGTCTTTTTGGACCTCTAAATCCTCAGTTTCCTCTGCTTTCCTCTTCTGAGTTATGTATTTAACAGCCCGCTTCTTCACGTTGCCTCTCCCTGCCTTGGGTGGCATGTTAAAGTTGAATCAGCAATTAAATTTCCCACGGTCGGCCAAAGGTTTTATACCATCGGGAGGTCATGTGACGCCTTCGTGACCTAGTTCGAACGTATCGTACTCTCAATACGACGTCGTGTAGCCATCGCGTGGCCTTCGTGTGTACTACAGCTATAAGCTACTATAAAAATTCACATCTTCGTGTTGCCTTCGTGTGTGGTTCGGGTGCCATTGTGTGACCTTCTGTAGGCATCGTACTTGCTTCGCCTGTTGTTAGGTTGTTGACCAAGTTCAGGGCCATCTTCACGCGAAATTCAAAATCCCATATTCGTATGGCCATCTCGTGTTAATTTCGGTACAGTGTGACGCCTTCATAAACGAAACTCATCCTCGGATATCTCACAATCAGCCAGTGCTGTTGAAATATGATCCTTACTAGAGCACATTTTTGGTTAGGGCTAGCCAATTTTCAGCTACTTCTTTCTCCAACGAGTCCAAAAAACGTGCCCTCCAGTATCTGCAAAATAGGTAGGTCTAGAAGCAATGTATAGCGAAAAACAGACTTCAGTCCTAAGCAACAAGTAGTGAAGAATTTCAATTTAAACATTTCGTAGCCAAAAGTATATAGACCAACAAATTTCGAGCACATACAATGGAGCAAAAAACAATGGAGACAACATACCAAAGTATGGGCCTACGAGCTGCAAAATCTGTAGCACCCCACCTATTGCTAGAAAATGCGAGCAGAGCATGCAATCTAGTACCAGATATCGCCAATGTCGACTATTTGGCAGGAAATCTTGGTAGAACAAATTTACAACCGCTAGAAGGCCTACCAACATTTGTAGACGATTTGTACACGTTTGGCTATCTATATCGCAAAGAATGTGTATACAGAAGAGAAAATTGCTATGTACAACAGGAGAAGATAGTTCTGCACAATATATCATATCGAGAATCTCTACTGCAGTACGAACAATTATGGGAGAAACTCCAGATGGCAAAAAAAGAGGACATATCCATACAACAATTTTGCATACTATTTCAGCACATACCGAAACCAAAAATAGTGCCATACGGAGTACAATTGCAAGAATAGAGCAAGATTCAGAGCAGAAAGCGAAAAAGAAGTGGAAAGAACTATATGCAGTAGAGCAGGTACATGGCTTGTTTGTAGCAAAGAAAGATGTTTCCGAAATACCTATAGACGAATTGCACACTGCATTGCCTGATTTCGAAAGACAACTACTAGCACAAGGCTATGGTTTGTATTCTATAGACTACACTAGGGACTTTTCGGGCACACTAGATAGAGAAGCTCTTGTCAAATATCTCTACAAGAACATAGTTTCCGAGAACAAGGTACCCTCACACAAGCTATGCATGAAAATACTCCAACTATTCTCGTAAATACAGATAGCATTGAAAAACACGTTTGTACATGGGTACACACTTACAATGGCCATACAATAAGATCAAAGTTGTACAACAAAGTCGTGTCCAATTTCGAAGAAAGAGAAATACGAGAACAGCTTGGCGGACATTGTGCAGACTATGTAGACTGTCCAAACAAACATTTGGGAAAGACATTTCTACACCCACAAGTACAAGCTAGAGGCTGCACATGTATAGAAGTTTCTTTTTATGCTTGCAACGATGAATTGCGCGATACAGAAACAGCAGACTATTTGGTAGAAGATGCTCTATGGATAGTTTCCCCAGCAAACAACCCTTTGTAGTACAACCACCCACAAAACAATGGGAAATCTTGCAAGTTGCGTAGATTGTTGCTTTGTGCGAGCAGATCACCCACAAGGAACTATATTTGTAGCTTGGTATGCGCATACAACAACTGGAAGACGACAGAAAATGGAATAGAACTATAAGATGGGCTACAGGAGATTTGGTTTCCGAAACTGTCCAATATTCCAGGTAGAAATTCTATCTGCAAACGAAGAAGGTGTAGAACTAAGTCATCTATGTTGCTATACAAAAGAAAAAGATACAAAAACTATCTCTTGTATGCAAGCAAAAAGCCAACACAACTACCCAAAAACGCGGTGTCTCCAAGCGTTCTATTGCCACCTACAGCAAAAAGTAGAGTGGGAATGGAGAACAGCAAATTGCCACGCTATAGGTACAGACGTGTCCAAATACAATCTGCAAGAAGTACCAGAAATAGCAAAAGGAAGACAAGTATACACCATGTCTACGAAAGATAGAGGAAAATATCTACAAGACATACAAGAAGTATTACGTGCAGAAGAATTGAAAAGACAAGCATTGAACTATCTAGAAGAGTGAGTGAGTGAGTGAGTTGGGTTTAACGCCGCTTTTAACAGTATTCCAGTTATATCACGGCGTGTCAGCTCAGTGTGGGAGGAAAGCCCGAAGTGATGCAGGTCTCAGACGTTTACCACTTCGGTGAAACTCACGAGCACTGGTATGGTGCTGACAAACCTAGAAACATAATCGGGGCGAACCGGGATTCGAACCCACAACCATAGGTTTCTGGCGTGCCAAAGGGACGCAACTCTGCACAGCGAATCGCGGCGCCTTAGAGGACTGGGCCACCCGTGCCCCCACTATCTAGAAGAAAAACAAAAGCAAAAAGAAGCTTGTAGAGAACAAAAACAAAAAGAACTAGATCTTCTATCTTCCCTGTTGTGAAAAAAACAGGAATATACGCAAATTTCGTATGCTACACGATCCTTGTTAGAGGATGTACTACGAATTTCGCAAACAAAGAAAATAGCAGACAAAAACACTGTTTGGGCTATCCTAGGATATCAAAACCAAAAAGATTGGTCCTCCCACAAAGAAGGAGGAGAAGCTGTTGCAGTTTGGTCGAACAAGCAACTTGCAAAAGTGCTAGACAACTGCCACGACTTTGTAGAAAGCCTTTGTAGAAACTTGTTGGATTCCAAGAGATATTTGGCATGTAAAAGAAAATGGGAATACAGCAGAAAGCAACCCAGAGAAGGACGATAGCGAACGAGTAGGGCTGTATATATGCGTACAACCTGCACAACAATTCTGTTCTGGCGGGGAAACAATCTCCTGGAATCCTATTTCTGTAGAAGAAGCGCCAGACCCGAAAAAACTCTAGAAAAAGAATACGAGAAAGTAGAAAGCGAAGCTACATACGAACTAGTTCTAGAAGACGCCCAACCAACAAAGTAAACAACAAAAGCTCCAGACATGCCTCCA